GAGGTTAAGCGTTCGCATGAAACTGAAGGTCCTAGGTATGAATTCCGAGTGCAGAATCGTGAATACGCACTACTAAGGTGTCCCAAACTGCAACGAAATGGTTTTTCAGTGCTTCCAGGTTTCCGATGGTGGTCTATTATCGATTCACGGTCTCAATTGAAACTCAACAATCTCCATCACCGTTTACTGATAATTTGTTATAGTTCTGTAAGTTTGTAAGACTGATACTAATATTGTAGCGCGACAACATACATCAAAGTTTAACACATCATTGATTAGCAAGCAATGTCATATTTGTCTGTCCCTTAGTGTAAATCGAGTTCTGTCAATCAAGTTATAATCTAGACACTAGTCTGGATGACTCACTATCACATACAGTACATTGAAATGTCAGCTGATATCGCTTCAAAACCCGTAGGTTGTATTAGTTTTCACAACTTTATAGTTAGAACTTTATGATTAAGATCAACTAGCATGTAACTTAGATCCAGGGATTCATTCTGACTACATCCAATCAACCAATCTAAGATTTTTTAAAGAAATATCTAGATTTATAATTCCTATAGGGTTTCGTTAATTATCTTTCAATGAAATAAAATACATTCTTATAGAATTTCTTTAAAACTCAGTAATTACAGACTAATCAATCATTATGGTTGAATAATTCTGAAATTGCTATTTTATACATTTTTCTCTGTTAAAATGGACATGACTGACATAACTAAACTATGTAAAATACGATTTTATTCATCTTAAACAAAATAAAACAAATTTATGCAAAAAAGAATTTACATTTTGTAAATATGATTAACTACACTGATCGTCAACAGACTAACTGGTTTATACATTCGTAAGTTCTGAAAGCAAAAAACAGTCCATATTTTTCTCGTGGTAAACAAACTAACTATTCAAATAGAAAAATCAACAAGTCGTGTAGTGAACGGAACGTTGGGGATCCTAGATCCCTAGAACTCACTTGAGAAAGGACTTAATTTTGTAATTTTATCTGGAAAATTCGAATTTCTTTGTTTTCGCGCCAATGGTGCTCTTGTCACCTTCATGTCGTATTTCCCACTTGAGAGAATCTTAAATGCTATTGGTCCGTTGCGTCTTTTAGTATGCTATTTGGTAACTCTCCCCAAGGACGGTTTTCTGCTATATATATATATACGTTTTGAATTGTGTTTGTTGTTATCGCTCGTTTCTGGCTGTTTTGCAGAATATACTTCCCATTCCAAGCTTGGACTTCTCCCTCTAGTTAGCGGGGCTGAGACGCATCAATAGCTAGCTTACTGGTCTTTGGTCACCGAGTCTTGTTCTCGTTCGCAGATTAAGTGAACTCAGGATAGTTTCAAACCTAGCATCAACTCATGATGAAAGCTGGTAATAATTAATGTACTCTAAGTTAATGAATGAGAGACCATTAATTTCACGATTCTATCAAATAAGTAGATTGATTAATTTTTAAAATTACGGAAAAGATAATACAAAATATTTTATTAAAGTCTTTATTGTACATTCAAATGAATGTAAAATATTGTGTTCAAGATGATGGTGTGGATGTCCGTTATTTAGATCGGACGATGTTGTCGAAAGGGCTCTCCACTTTAGTAGCCCGAGATTTGACTCCAAGGAGATTGTAATGATGATTGTTGTTGAAATATATATGTCGATTATCCTCGTATATAATCATCGACTTAAATCGCGTTAGTCAATAACTGGATTAAATAAGTCAAATAATGAGAATGAACTTTTGAATACACAGATTTTGTATATGAAGCGAATGGAATAGAGAGAAGAGAAACGACGCAGAGTGAAGATGGCTGGTAAGCCAAAGTCAGAATGTGACTCTAGTAGATTGAATAGAATGGGCTTCCCGAAAGCTAGAATAAAGTATATGGGCTTAACATAATAACCTACACTACAATGATAATTGTTTCAACTTTACATTCTATACTACTAGTGCTCATTTAATTCTATTCAGTAATAGTTGAATAAATTACTTTTAGATAAGTTTAAACAATACAAACGTCTTTTGGAATTAGTAATGTTAAATTCATTGCGGGACAATTTTTATTATAACAGATATCAATTCATTTTTAACTTTCATGTAACTGGTTATATATTTTATTGTGGGGAAAGACACAAGTGGAGAAGACTAATTTATTGTTTAGTGCATAATTACAGAGTACCTTCAAAGACAAAATATGAAAACTATATATCAAATACATCATTTGCATAACTTCTTCTTCCTTCATTTCTGTTATTATCTACATATTCCTCAGTTTCCTTCTTTCTTCTTTTTCATTTTAATCTTCTTAACTTTGTGCTCATAGGTATTTCATTTTTGATTGGCGCTACATACTACTTATATCTGTAAACATAAATAATATACATCATAATATATTTCATAATAAACTATATTTTCATTAATCATTTAATCAATATGATAAATTTGTATTAAAATAAAGTAACAATGATCAAATGTCTAATTTGTATGATTCATCGAAATGTGTATATTACAATTCTTTTCTATTGTATTTATTTGTGATTTTGGCGTTTTCCATCTCATGTTCTTATCAATGAATATCGAAGGATACCCGTTTTCGATAAGTATCTCTAGTAAGAGGCTCAATTCTTTACCACTCTATAGCAAAGTGTCTGGGAAATCTCCTAGAACCCGTTAGAAAACGCATTTGTAAACATTCCGTACGTGATACTTATGAATTTATCTAGCAAATAAAAAAGGTGAATGTAAGTGACAAAATTATGCTATCTCTGAATGTCGAATCATTATTCACTAATGTTCCATTCACAGAGACCATTAATTTTATCTGCAGGTACATAGACAATGATGAAATAAACATCGAAATACCAGATGTTTATTTGAAAGAACTATTAATAATTTGCACTTGCAATGTACAGTTCACATTCAACAACGTAATTTATAGACACAGAAGGATGGTGTAGCAATGGGATCCCCACTTGGTCCATTACTGGCAGATTGCTTTATTGCCAGTTTAGAAAACAACCAACTCAAAACAATTATAGAAAACCTCCACGTGTATAAAAGGTCCGTAGATAGTATCTTTATCATTTGTGACAACAAATGACTTAAGTCATCTCCTAAAGACATTTAATAATTGTCACCGATCAATAAAATTCACACTTGAAGTTGAAAACAAACAAAATATTCACTTTCTTGATATGGAAACGACACGAAACCAAGACGGTACTTTACAAAGATCTATCTACAGGAAACCCATATTGAATGGCCAACTATCAAGTTTCTACAGCTGGGTTCACATCAGCCAAAAAAGAAACTTAATACTAACGCTCGCCACAAGAATATGGAGAATCTGTAGCCCCGAAGTCGTAAATAAAGAATTAGGCCTTTTAAACGAGATACTTATCAAAAAAGAGTATCCTTCGATATGCATTGATAAGAACATAAGGCCGAAAACGCCAAAAACACAAATAATATAATATACTCTATTGAAATTTGAAATTAATTCACTACAAATAATACTCACTTCTGCACTTTCACACCTATCCACTACAAGAGAAATTTGGTTAGATGTCTCACTATCAGAGCTAAAATGATCTGCACAGTAGACACTCTAAGTCAGGAGCTTGAATTCATCAACAACTCACTGACCGAGATTGGCTACCCTAGTGCTTTCATTAAGAAATACATGTATGACATAATAAAGAAGTCGGAGATTCCGACTGTTCGTAAGAAACCTTTATACATGAACGTGCAATTCAACGGGGATGTGGGTAGTGATACTCTGAAATATAGGTTAATGAAAGTAATCACCAGAACATTCTACACAGCCAGTCTTGCGTTGACTTTCTCTTGTCGACCAACGATGTGTACGCAAACGAAGGATAAGTTACTTGGGTTGGCCTCCTCAATGTGCATTTACAAATTCAGCTGCTCCTGTGGAAATAGCTATATTGGGCGTACTACCAGGCAACTTAATCAACGAATGAGTGAACATCTTTGGTGGCCCATGGATCTGACTCCATTTTGATCGTTTAAATGTTTGTTATCGCCTATTCTCGTATATAATTGTCGACTTAGATCGCGTTAGCCAATAACGGAATTAAATAAGTCGAATAACGAGAATTGATTTGTGAATACATATATTTTGTACATGAAGCGAATGAAACAGAGCCAAGCAAAATGACACTCAGGGAAGATGGCTGGGAAGCCAACTCCATTTTAGTCGAGCGTTACTCAATATTTATAGTCAGATAAAAATAAACTACAAACATGTGATGAGTCATGGGATATGAAGTGTACACACATATACGCTCATATAAAAAGCAATCTAGATTGATAAGCGAATAAATAACAAGGTCAAAGTATGGCTCGAGTAGAATGAATAAAATGTGATGTCCGAAAGCTAGAATAAGGTATATGGGCTTGGCATAATAACTGACACTACACATCTACCAGCTTGGTTTATGAACAGCCAGATAAAAGCAATTCGCAGTTCTATCTTGGCACATCTTAATGATAGCGATGATGCTGTAGATAAATCTAAATCATTTCGAGTGATCTATCGTATACCTTCACCTCCTACATATAGCTGAAACCATAGGAATTCGTACATATAACCCCAATTTATGTGTACAGAAGAAATAATATTTACTATAATATTATTTCAACCAATCAGATTATTTGAAATGATAAATAGGAAATTGACCAATCACAATTGAATAATTTAGAGTAAGATTTAATGAAATAATAAATAAATATTAATCAAATAAATCATTAGAGAATATTACGTAATTTAATGTTTTATTATGTTTTTCCCCCTTAATTACAGATGATTATTATATTTTGTTTTAATGTCTTATAAACAAGAATTCTGTATTCATCCAGTAAAAAAAGAAAGGGTAAATGAAATTTTAACTACGCTTCATTTAAATTTGTATTTATGAGAGAGTAAAGATTTTACAAGATTTTATTATAAACCAATGAATATGAAATGGAACAATCTAATGTAAATTTAAAACGTAGTTCTGAACTATCTAAAGATGATAATCAAATTGAATTTATACAAGATAATCCATGTTGTGCTTCTTCTTCATCTTCTCCTCCTTTTCCTCCTCCTCAAAATATAATATTATCAAAACAAGAACCAAGTGATTTTAATGATAATTCAATTAAAGGTGATTTAATTATAGACAGTTTACAAATATCTAATTCGAAATTAAATACAATTTCAAATGAAGATGTTCGAAGACAATCATGTGTACATTCTGAACAAACATTAAATATTGCTCATCATTTATATCCTACAACATCTTTATCGCATACATCATCAGCTTTTTCAAGTTATTTAAGAATTCCATCTATTTATGAACAAATGAATGAAACAGTTGTATCAACACATTCAGCTGATTGGTCAAAATCATTACATAGATCAAGTTGTTTTAATACACCACAAAGTTTAAGTGAAGAAGATCAAAAATTTACACAAGCAACAGTTCGTGCTGTATTAGCTGCTAGTGCTAGAGAATCTCGTACAGCATTAACTGATTTACCATTAGATTTTTTTACAAATAATTCTGATTTATCTAATATTGATAATAAATTAAATTCATTATCAGTTCAACAATTATCTCATAGAAATTTATCTACTGAAAGCGCATTAAATGTTAATAGATTAAATTTACCATCATCAAAATTTCGTGATGAATGTAAAGAACGTCGAACTAATCGAAAATTTAGTGCACTTTATGTTCATAGTTTTGATGATACAATACATGATAGTGTATTATTATTGAAAAGAGATAAATCACCAATTCCTACTACATCATTGAATTCTAATAATATTATACTTAATAGTGCTACTAATCTATCCAATTCTATACAATTACCTCATATACAATCATCAAATAAAAATATTCTGATTACTACTAAACAAAATCCTAAATCATTAAAAAATTTAGCTAGACAAACATCACATTCAATAAATAGACCATTAAAACGTTTAGCTGCTAGTTTTCGTTTAACTAAAAATATTAAACATTCAGCATCAGTGAATTATAAACAACATTCTTGTACGAATGTCCCTTTCAAATCTGGTATTGTTTCCAGTTGGAATTCTGTTTCAAATTGTATTGATTCCATACAAAATACTTCAAACACTACTACTACTACTAATAATAATAATGATATCAGTAGTAATAATAATGGGAACAATATACGTACACGTAATGTAATTCTTCAAACAGATCAAGATTTTATTAATGAATTTAAACATGATAAATGTTTACATAAAGGACATTTATCATTAAATGATTCAATGGATCATGAAACGGATAGTTTATTAAGTCAAGATGATAAACCAGGTGGTAGTTCATTTCATTTAAAAGAACAATTTTTTGCATTTTTTCAACCAACTGGTAATAAATTAGCAATGAAATTATTTGGTACTAAATTAGCATTAGATAGAGAAAGATTAAGACAAGAACAACAAGGTGATTGGATTATACATCCTTGTAGTAATTTTCGGTAAGTTTTTAGTTTTTTTCAAGTTTTCTTCTTACAGTTTACTTATGGAAACCTAACAAGTGTGTTTTTATTAGATTGATTGGTAAAGGAGAAGTGTTAAATTGAATAAATAATTTCATACATAACTTTTTCATATTAATATAGCAACAATATGAAGGCATAGCAACTATCCTACAATCAATTTTCATTATGGTTAATTTAGGTTAAGCCCTTATATTAACTTACTTAACAGACAATGTTATTTGAACAGTAACCATTCGCATATTTATTTGGATTGTTATGATCATCAGAGCACATGACAGACTCTAGCTGAAATGTTCATTGCTTAAATATCATTCAATGATTCATCCTTCATCCCATGTATGTATGTATATACTCAAATCCTATGATTAGTCCTTGTTTTGTCTTACTGTGTGCCCTTATTCAATTTAACTATAAATTTACCTATGTCATTGCTTGTATATACTTATTCGCTTCTCCATTTCAAATTCGTTCGATGTGTTTATAGTTTTATGATCAGCACTATCCGCTAATAAACTGTAATTGATGCGTCTGATTTCAAAAACACTGTTGAGTTCTAGATTCTAACAGTTATTGAATTGATCAATTCACGAAGTCAAACCACTACAAAGGTTCTCATGTGTTATAATCTCACCGTAATTGTTCAGTAAATTTGTAAATAAATCTTTTACAAAGGAGAAGATGAAATTTTCAAAAAAAATTTCAGAAACGATCATTTAAGCATGAATAAATGCGTATTAAGATTAATGAGGTCATGTACAGATATTTCAATTATATTCAGAATAGAAAACCTTAAACAATCAGTTAACTACTAAAATCTAATAGGTTACATTACTTCCACTAAGTAGTACTTTTATTTACACATACTCTATATTCATTCAGTGTAAACTGTATTCAAAATGATAGGATCATTTTAAGAATACAAACAGCTTGTCTATATACTGAACTTTCTCATTATTTTTGTTGTTGTTGTTGTTGTATGGTTATATAAGAAAGAAAAAAATCAGTGAACAATAGGCATTCATTATGTTTTAATGTGTATAACTTTAACAGAACAGACCTTCAAGTTTAATGGTTCCTAGTTTCCTCTTTTTTTTCTTTTTTCTTTTCATTATTACTCTCAATTACATGGATTCATGAATAAATTTACAAATTATTCAATTCATGAAATACATAAAGATTTTCTTGTTAAATTCTGATAGTTTTCTTCTTTATTTTTTTTCTTCTCTAGAAACCATTAAATTTACAGGTTGTTTTATTCTTTCTCTATAGGATTATTGAAATTATCAAACTATAATTAGAATTAAAAAGGAAACATTAGTACATTGTGATTTAAACAGATGGAAATGCCTTCAGTTTCAATTCACTTGATATTGTTGTTGTTGTTTAGGACTGAAGTTGATTAGTCTTTTGTTGGCATATATATATATATATATATATTCTGTGCGGATTGCCTCGATATTGATTTCAGTCACAAACTTCATAAACAAACATGAATAGTGGCTAGTAGTGGAATTCGGGACGCACATTTTGTCTTATTTGAAGCGAATAATACTGGGTTCAAATCTCAGAGAGGATATTAACTTTGAGATTCAGATGCATCCAGTTGATGAGTTGAAAATAGAATGAAATGCGCGTACTGGATTCCATTGCTATCTACCATCTGTCTTTGTTTATAATGCTAACAGTTATTTAAAAACTGGTATAACAGTTGTTTTTCCTGAATAAGTTTAATGATTTTCAACATTGTGTAGGATGTTTTAAAGATGAGAAATAGTTTTTTGTTTTCAAGGTTTAGAAAAAGTAGTTTTATCTCAACAAAACAAACATATTAACAATATAGAATTTTGTCAAAACGAAAAATGAGACATTTTCATTGCTTTGCAAAGCTGTCAATTTGTCTCATTATTTATGTATTAATCCAATTGATTTGTTAGTTGTCTTTTCTTTTCAAACTTGTAAATGTCTTACAGAATTTAAGCATGAAAATTAAGGATTAAAACTAATTTTTGTTTGCAAGACCTAAGTATTCAAATTTAAACCTTGTTTCATAAATTTTGTTTAAGAATCTTCAAGATTAAGAAATTGAAATCTCTAATAAGATAGATACTAGAGTTTAGATCATTTTAGATCAAGTAGTATAAAGATATATTCTCAGAAGGGTTTGTGGAGATTTTAGAAATTTCACAGATTGAAATCATGAGTCAATTGAAGCTAAACCTGGAAACACTGGAAGGCTGTTTTGTCCTAGTATGGGATTCCTCAGCAGTGCGCATCCACGATCCCGCACCCCGCGAGATTCGAACACAAAACCTATCAATCTCGTTCCAGGTGCTTAACCAACTAGACCATTGAGCCGTCATCCAATGGTGTTAATGTCTAACTTCAACCGAAACGGCCGTCCAGTGCTTCCAGATTTTCCATGGTTGTCTAGCTTCAATTGACTCATGATTTCAATCTGTGAAAGATATATTCATTTAAAGTAGAATAAACATTCTATCTTCAAGTTACACCATACAAGTTATATGGATTGTTTACCTCTTAAAACTATTTGTTTTTATTAAATCATTGAACATGATAAACCCTTTAAATGAGAATTGGTTAAATGAATGTAGCATTGAATATACAGTAAATTCCACATTGAACAATTGTTCCAAACTGCTGTTATGTAGGTTAATTTTTATTGATGTTTTCATTATATCAAAATATTATTTCACACTGAATAGTTTTTCATGACCATTAACACGAATTGAATTCTTATTATTATTATTATTATTATTATCATTCTTTTTATGTAAAGATTGTGTAACAGTAGACTGTCTTTGAGAATGAAGTGAATGGTTACTAATATGGTTATTGGATTAGATTTTTTAATTGGTAAAGGTAATTTCTGTAAATGAATCTATAAAACTCTCAGTTATTCTATTGCTGATATTTTAACTGAATTGTCATATGTACATTCTGTAGTGATCACTTTAATACAGTAATTTTGTCACAAGTTTTTTTAGAAGTGTCCTAAATAAAGCGATGAGAAGATGGTGTTGATCAGATCAACTCCATAAATGGACCAATTGCTTTAAAGTCTCAGATAAGATGAAACGAGTATCCTGAATTCCACTGCTAACCAAAGACTATCTCTTCAATAAAACTTGTAGTTTATATAGTATTTTTTTGATCTAAATGATACAGGTTAAAATCTAGTCTTTAGTTAAGTGTACACGCAAATTTGTATGTTATAGTTGTACATTCATTTATACATCACAATGCATGTTCTACCAAAAAGTGTAAGATATAGACCTCCGATCAACTGCCCATTAGGATGGAAAATAGCTGAGCAAAAGGAAAAAAAATGGTACACCTAATGATAACGGATGCACACTACAGGATCCACAAATACCAACACGTTATAGAGGATCAAAAGATGAAGCTGCAAAGAACACTCACGTCAGAACATATGGAAATCTTGACAACAGCCATCGAGATATCATACAAACGACACAGAGAACAAAGAAGAAACACCTTAAGGAAAAAAATTGATCAAGATCTCAAAACCACCCATGGAAGAAAACACAAACAACTGCGTGATCAATCTGTCAAAACAAACATTAATAGATTTGTAGTATTACAAACATTATCATCAATTAATTTCGATAAGAAATTATTGTAGTTGAGAAAAAATAATTATCAATATAACGTTGTGGAGATTGTTGAGCTTTTATTAAAATCTTGAACCAATCAGTGTTAGACCAACATTGTAAATGTGAAAGCAGTGGATAGCTGTTTTGTCCTAGTATGGGATTTCTATACAATGCTCATTCACGATTCAACCGTATTGTGTAGGGCAGTTACATATTGAAGACGGTGAAAGGTAGTCATGTAAGACCATGGATTGATCGAACCTATACATTAACATCGTTGGATCTCGTCTCAATGGTCTGGCGGTTAAGTGTTTACATGTGAGACCAAAGGTTCTGGAATCGTATTTCACATGCAAAATCGTGAATTGCACACTGCATAAGAATCCTATACTTGAATAAAATGTCTGTCTCGTGCTCCTCGGTTTTTAATCGTTATCTATCAACGACCGGTTCATGATTTAGTGAAACATTTATTGATAAATGCATTGATTAAATTAAAGATATTCATGATCACAAATTAGTTCAATAAGGTCGTTTTAATCATATTTACTGTTCAATGAACTGTGATTTCTGTTTCATTTTTAGGAATGTTTATAAATTTTCTTCACTTTTATTTACTTGAATGTGTTTTTCTGACTTGTTTAGATATGGAGGGAAGTATTATTACACTTTTTTTCCCATTTTCAAGGTTAAAATGATGTTGATCATTATTATAAAAACAAAGTAACATATTATTTGAATGAATGTGAAAATGTAAAGGATTAAACGACAATTCTGTGATTTAAAGATTAAATGCTTACACTGGATCGAAATCTCAAATTAATAGTTGTCCAAAGGAATTCATTGCGTGATACAGACTTTTGAATGAATAGAGAAAATATATAATTCCAGTAAATGAATTTATTAAAATTAGGTCCTTTAGTTACTTACTTACTCCTGTTACTCCTCATGAAAGAACATAGGCCGCTCACCAGAATTTGCCATCCAACCCTGTTCTGGGCAATCCTTTCCAGCTCCTTCCAGTTCCAATTGATCCTTTTCATATCTGCTTCTATTTCCCGACGTAATGTGTTCTTTGGCCTTCCTCTTTTACGCTTCCCTTCAGGATTCCAAGTTAGAGGTTTAAATTCTTTCAATAGTTTATATTGACAATGTTGACTACAAAGACAATATAAGCTTTACAATTAAAACTATCCAGCTTAGACTTTCCATTGATATTAAGGTTTGACTTTTTTATAACTTGTGAACTTATGTGCCCTGTTTATTGTATAACGCAACGATACCGCCAATCAGAGAGGAGCGAATTATCGATCGAACCAGTGACGCATAAAACACGTGCGAGCAACCTAGAGTCCTGATTGGTGCTGCTTTCCGCCTAGCCCAGCCAGTTGAGTCCA